GTGTTGTAACGGCGACAAGCTGAGATGTCACCGTCTGATTACGCTCCATTTGAATTCCCAAGGAAGAAGTCAACAACAAGGGCGGAAGCGTGGAAACCACCCGAATGCGGGATTTATTGTGTACAAAACCCGGAGTTGCTGTCTCATATGGGCAGTGGCCGCGCGCGAAGCCCTAGCTGACGGGAACTGCTCCTAGTCACACCTGAGGGTGTCTGTAAGTCTCAGAAAGTCCCTGTTTGAGATTTGACAATTGCTTATGAGTGACTGTGAAGCGAGTTCAAGTGTTGCATGATTGGTGCGTTGGATTTACCCGAGGGGTGTCAAATATAGAGGTCACCTACTGCGTGGCCGCAGGGCGGCGCGTTCAAGCGTACCTGTGTGCGTGTGCGCACGTGTGTGTGCGAGTGAATATCCGTCGAGCGGTTTAAGGTCATCTAGTGGTGACGGTCACCAGCGCAGACATATGACTTTGAGGCCGTTCCCATTGAACAAGGTACCGCTGTTGGCTGTCGGCCAGAGGAAAGATTCGTCAAGACAGGGTGCAAGGTTATGCTAGCGGTCGGTTAGGCTAACTCCTAACACTATAGAACATACGGTGGACTCCATAGAAACTGACGGTTAAACTGTCTTGTAGCCAACGGTAAGGCTTTGTGGAGAATTGCTTTGCGGAGCTGCTTTGCTAAGAAACCAAAAAACTTAGGTAGATAGTATGAGCAATCGCCTTGTCTTAACCCACTGATGTTTAACACATCTGCATCTCTTTTGCCCCTCCCCCTTAGGTCGACCTAGCGGAACGGCACCTGAATGATTCCTTCCGATTCCTCATCGAGGACCTGATGACCCTGTGGAAGAGCTTCGCCGATGAAAGCAAGTTCCGCAATGAACTCTACCAGCGCTTCCTCAGTCAGGCCTACGTGGTTGCGGCCGAATCCCGCGCGGTCTACCAGTCCGTGCAACGATGCGCCGCAGGGCCTTAGAGCAAACGCAGACACAAACACCAACGCACAGCGGTTCCAACACTATCACCAGCACGTGCAGATTCAATAACTGCAGCGTCCCAACGTCTTGCACAAAATGTTGCTATATTTTTAACGGAACGAATTACTTTTTTTCGGCGTAGAGTACTCCCCTGTACATGTGCCTTGACGATACCTTTAGTCTTTGATTCAAAAAGAGAGTAAAAGAAAACTAAATAAATACTATGCTTATCAGCGCCATCAGAGTCTGCTTGCTTGAGTGATGCGAGGTTTTAATGGGACTGTGTGTCCAGATAGCACGACAACCAATCAGTTGCGAGGGCTAGTGAGGGTTATCGATTATCGATCGCAAACTTAAAATAACCCGGGTATCTTCACTGTGTCCTTACGACTTTTATTATCGGGAATAATTCCAAAAGTAGATCGAAAGGGAAATCGATACAATACTAAGAAAACAAAATGGTTTCTGTGAGTGAGCTTGTTATAATGAAGCGCAAAATTACTCAGCGCACGTGGAGTGCGTGATCGGGTGTGAATACATTCAAGAGTAACTGGAACCTTTTGTTATCTAGGCAAGAATAGATAAATAGATAAAACACTTTTTCGAGTAGTTGGAATGACACTATGTGGATACTGTGAGGTGGGATAGAGTGATATAAAGAAGGATTGACATACTCTGTTTATGGTTTGCGACTTCAAGGTAATTTTACCCGGTTCCTGTAAAACTCTCTTCTAGATAGTTACTACCCAAGAAATCATTCTTAATTTGGAGCGCACTTTAAAATTTTGGTTAAAATGGCATGAGATCGATCATTGATTGTACTTCGGGCTTTTTTAAATCAGTGGCTTTGGTGTAGGTCATCTGGAGCAGACGGAAAAGGCCTAGATGTCTTTTAGAGATGACCTTTTTAGTACGGTGAGCTGGGAAGATATCTTTGGAGTGGGAATAAAAATGGATGATTCAGTCATGAAAGTGCCGTTTTATTTCATGAAGGATGGTTCGCCGCGTTTCCGGTAAGACCCTGGATGACGACCTACCACAGTAGGTTGCCCAAGTCATGGAATTTAAAGATCGAAATTTTGGGGATAGTTTAACACACATTGAGGTTGTTATTTTTGTTTGGTGAATTCACTTGAGGGGCAAGGGGCTGTTTACTAAAGAAAATTCCACTTCAGATAAGTTTAGGAAGGTAATATAAACTGGAATTGGGCAAAATCCAATGTTTCT